GTCACCCTGTACTGGGTATATATCTTAAAGAAATGAAATCAATATGCAAACAGATAACTACACTCCTACGTTCATTATAGCCCTATTTTCAGTAGTCAAGACAAAATGTCTGTCAATGGATGAATGGGTAAAGATGTAAACTATTATTCATCTACGAAAAGATGAAATTCTGTCATTTATAACAACATGGATGAAATTGAGGATCATTATGTTAAGTGAAATAAGCCAGGCATAAAATGACAGGATTAGGGTCATGAGATCAGAGAGGAGACATAGTAGCTGTTAGAGTTGGGAAGATGGAAGGCCTGAGTGGGGAGATGCTCACCAGACACTATAAAATTGCTGTTAGGAGAAGTCCAAGATATAATGTATATTGTGGTGGCTATAATACAGTATATAGTTAATAATCGAATGTGTACTTGCATATTGCTAGAAGAATGAATTTCAAACACTTTGTCTCAAACGTGTATGAGCAAGCATAATCATCAGTTCTACTTAGGTATTTCACAGCATGCATATATAACAAAACATCATGCACTAAAATATGTACAAAATATCACTTGGCAAATAAGCAAATAAAGAAGAGGGAAGCATTATGAGAAGTTAATAAGGCAGCTGACATGAGTAGAAGCAATGAGAGACAGGGGACCTAGCAAGGAAGAGATAGGGAATTTGGTTCGATGTAGACAAGCTCTTTTTTCATGAGGAAATAGTGTTAGCTTTTTAAAAACAGAGATTGACAAAATGAAGGAAATTAAAAGCAATCAAACGTGTAATACTTCTGTAACACTGTCTTAGGTAAGCTGTGTTTTTTTTTTTTGTTTTTTTTTTTTGGTTTTTCGAGACAGGGTTTCTCTGTGTAGCTTTGCCCCTTTCCTGGAGCTCACTTGGTAGCCCAGGCTGGCCTCGAACTCACAGAGATCCGCCTGGCTCTGCCTCCCGAGTGCTGGGATTAAAGGCATGCGCCACCACCGCCCGGCTCGTAAGCTGTGTTTTTAATGAAACATTTTGCAATAGTATCTCCATTTTCTGAGTGAGACTGAATTACAAAGAATTCACTTAAAGCAGTAAGTGTCAAAACCAGCATTTGGAACCAAGAGTTATATATGCACAGCAGAACACCAACATCATCCATATTCCAATCTCCTCTGAGTACCCAGACACGGGTGGCATCCTTCTACCCTCTACTTCCATGAGATAACATTTTTTGGTCGATGCAATTATGTAGAATTTATCCTCCTGTGCTGTCTTATTTCATGACCATGATGTCCTCAAGGCTTGTTCATGTTGCTGCAAATGGCAGAATTCCATTTATTTTTGTGACCAAATGGTATCAATATTGCATATCTGTATAATATTTTCCTTGTGAATAGAGCTGCTACAAACATGAGTGCTTACATAAACATGGGTATGTAGTTATCTCTTTGTCATACTGATTTTATTTCCTTTGTATGCTTACTCAGTCAGACCAATGGTTCATATGTGAGTTCTCATTTTAATTTGTTGAGGGGCCTCTGTGCTGCTTTCTGTCACATCACACTAATTCACATTTCTACCACCTGTATCTAAGAATTCCATTCGCTCCTCCTCCTCATCAACTGGAGTGTTCCAGGTTTGTTTTCTCTTCTGGAGGTTGTTTGTTCTGATATCTCAGGTGAATAAGACGCCAGTTGGATTACTGTTTCATATGTCTAGTCACTCAGCCCCATTGCTTGAAAAATTTAAGATCTGGTACCATATGTAAAACAATGTCTGTGTACATTTATGCAGAAATTATTAATAGGATTCCAAGTGGCAATTCTGGTGAATTTTAGAAACTTAGGGGAACCTGGTGGTGACATTAAAGACCATCCTCACATAGTAAACGGGTACCAGTGAGGTGTCATAGCATCTCAGGTAGGGAACTGGACAACATGGCAAGATTTTAACATATGGACACTTAGTACAGGACAAATGTGGTTACTAGAGAGACACTATTCTAGAAAAAAGGGGGGGCAGCAAGGAAAAAGTCAGGAAGGACATTGCCATACAGTAAATATTTCAGGGTCTGTCCTGCTTGACACCCATGCAGCTCAAGACAATACCTGCATGAACCAGCATAGGCATGGCACCCATGCAGCTAAAGGTAATACCTGCATGAACCAGCATAGGCATGGCACCCATGCAGCTAAAGGTAATACCTGCATGAACCAGCATAGGCATGG